ATCATTTTGATGTGCGTGCTTAGGCTTAATGTGCAGTGCAAAATCGTCACTGTCTTAAACTATCAACTGTCTTCAGAGCGGTCATTAGATATTGTTAAATAAAGAATGGAAAGTGGGCGATTTGACTATAGTTTTAATTCAATTTGGCGGCTGAATGAAAATGTTGAGAGCTATTAAGATATATGATAGTAATTAAATTTAAACGAAATTAGATGAGCATTGTAAGCTTAAAATAGTAGCTGAATGATCAGATCAGATCAAATCAAATCAATAGAAGAGCATAATTTTGAACATTTTGAAGTGGGATGAAGATAATCGCCTGAATTAGTTTCACTTCTCATATCACTTTTAGCCGATTTGAAATCAGTACCATCGGCTACGAGATCTCATTTGGAAAAATATTGTTGAACGTTTATTGTTAAGAAAAGGACCATAGTTAAATAATCGGATGTTTTGGTGCAATTCTAACCTCAGATTAAGTCCTTCACTTTGTAAATAACATCCCAAATCAGATCCGTTCGGTTGCGAGAAAACGACGACCTCAAACGCAAAAACATATCTCAATTATAATTCACGAAATAAGGCAGAGGAACGAATGAGGTTAATTTCATACGGAAAGCCATCAAAATTCAATAAGAAATTTCAGATGATATGTAATAGCGGCTTTAGAAAGTATCGTGGGATTCTGTGCCGAACCCAAAACATTCGTTCCAGCAGATCACCGACGGAGTCACTGAAGATTCCGTTAATTTGCTTCGAAGGTCTCGGACAAGCGCCGACTCCAACATTCGGCTACCTGATTTGGCCAATACTAACTCATATCATTGAAGAAATTCTGCCGTGATGATTGCAGATCTGTTCTCCGAACTTGTACAATGATCTCAGGCATTGAGTTCAGCGAGCAAAAAGTGAAATGCTTCAAGAGAGACGTTTCGGGCATTCAAGAAATAAATATTGCAGAGGCGTTTATACGTATGCTCGTAATTAGTTATTATGGTTTCTGACCAAATAAATTTGCGAACGGAAAAAGCTCAGAAACCTGAACAGATGATAAGTGTCAACGTACCACATCCTCAGTGAGAGAATTTCGATTTGGATTACGATTTTTGATGAGCAAAGTTGTTAACCATGAACCTCGTGCAGTTTTAACGAACCTAGTTTCAATGCCTTCTAAATCGACCCGTCGCCGCTTTATCGCCAGCAAATTCCGTGGTCTTATTCGAGCACATTCGAATTTTCTGGCCTTCAATTAGGTTTCATATAATAAGCATTATCTTTGCAAATAACAGATTATAGCGCATTGTAAGCTAACGTTCAGTCATTGCGACTTTGCATCTGGCTTGCTATTCGGGTGCTTATTCAGTGGATCTTTCGATTCAGACTGTTTAAAGATCATATCTGGAGACAGAGCTTCATTTGTTTGGATATTCCACCACTAAGGGGGTAGCAAGGTAACCATCTAATTTTTTTGTTGCTCAGATTGATTTCTATATTTCGATCCCAATCCCGGGATCTGTTTTCTGAAAAATCTCAGCAGTTCGGGCACTGATAAAACACGAGGATATTTTGTGTGATTTTGGTTATACACTCATCTTGAATTAACCATCAACCATTCCCAGTTCATTCATGTGTACTAATACCTCTTGCTTGCCATCTATGTGGCAACAACTGGATAAATCGTTACATATTAACGCCAAGTCGGTTTTTTTTGGAATGCAGTGAACATGGATTTCGTAATGTCATCATGCATGCTTCGCATTTGGTCAGCATTGTCGCTCTTTTTCCCGTTTGTGATCGTTCCACAGTCCCAGAGTTCAGGAATGAATCTGAGATCCAAGTCCGATCTCAGGGTTGTAAAGCGATCGGGATATTGCAAGCACTAGTTCAGTTAGACGAGATCTTATGCTATGGATATAGTGATTGCTGCTGGTAATATATGCGAGTTAAACTGACTTGAGTATGTCACATTTAGTAGTCTTCGAATTGAGATTACTTGAGTATTTGATAGTATTTGATAGCAAAATATATGGCCTTTTCATGAGCAATTCCATCGTCGTGGTGATGTGAATGTTCCTCTACGTATGATTACGATGAGGAACGACCTTAGCTGTCACAAAATCATGCGTTGCTTTAGCATCGATTTCGAAATCGTTAACTTATTCGCGTCTGTGTGAAAAAATTAGCAGTTTTCTCGATACGGCGGATGGTTGTGCCGGTAGTTATGAATGGAAAACAGCAAAATTCATACCTTTGAAGCATATTTTAATTCAATGCAAGTGTTATTTTCATCGTGAACCTCAATCACATAGCTGAGTCCTCGTTGTGGTGGATGAAACGCTAGTTTTCGAGTGATCAATTCAGGGATTGGAGGACAAAACACATAGCACGATGTTCCGATACACTGTAAGCAATCACTTCAACATTCTAGTGGTAACTGATAATTGATCTGTATCAATTCTTATCAGTAATTAAAAGATTGAGTAAAGCATTTGTGCAGCGAAAATGTTGCGGGAGCATTTCCTATCTTGAGTGTGTACGTTTAAACTGATTATAAAGTAAAATATCGTTAATTCAATTGAATTTTTCATAGAACAACTACAAATCATTAAATGATCAATAGAAATTCTTTATGCTGTTCTCATTTATTTCAGTCAATTTCTTCACAGTCGGAAAATCTGACTTCGATTCGTGATTTGGTTGAAAATGATATCAACTCTTAGTATATCTAGCCTTTCATTTAGCAGTGATCAGCTGCAACACAAAGAAACATTTGATAGTGTCTAAAGTTATGCACTAACTTTAAGGATCAAAAAGAAAACTTCGCCGCATCCATATCGTTTTTGATGATTCGAAACAGAACTACTGCTTTGACCTGACCTTTTACGACTCCTTCGAGATCTCGTTATTGTTTCATCACCGGATTCATTGGAATTTGATATATTGAATGACTGGAATCGATGTTATTCCTAATGAATTCTGTCTGTCATTTTTTGCAGTCGTCATTTCAACTTCATAACACAACTGAATGAGGAGATGCATTCGTTTTTGTGATGCAGTTTCCTTACAATCAGAATTTTGACTGTACTCTTCATGAAAATGTCGAATATTCATTCAGAAAATTGCTCTAAAACAGGCAATTTCATGTGAAAGCATACGGAGAAATCAGTTGTGAACGGTGGCAGAGCAATGCTATAGCTGGATTGTGATTCTGAGTTGGCTCCTTCGGTTGACTCTGTCCAACCCTCTCGCAGTAAACGATCTCGAGTTAAAATCCGCGAATCTGCCCTCCAAATCGTAGGTCTTGTCATCCGACTAAATTCACGACCGGTTCTTACACTGACGATGAGGAGCAACCGATCGAAACAAAAATAAAAAAATACGAATGCGAAGTGAACTCGATGAATTGC